GGGACCGGTTTTTCCCCGCCCCCGCCCCGGCCCCCGGCCAAAACCGCCCCCGGGGGGCCCCCCGGCCAAAGGTTCGGTTTTATGAGGACCTGGGTAGGGCGGGGTCCCCGTTTTCATCCCGGGGCGTCCCTCACCTTGGCCCCAGGAGGGATGCCCCCCCAGTAAAATGTTGGATGCCAAGAATTGGAATGGATGGGAAGGGATGGGACCGGGACGGGGTGGACCGGACGGACCGGATTGCGTACCCCGCGGGGCAAGCCCCCCCATTAAACTGGCCCCCCAGGGCGGGGTCCCCAGCGTCCCAGCCTCTCCCTGGCCACTTCGCGGGGTTCCGGGGTGCGGGCGGTGAGGGGGTTTCAAACCAGGGCCGCCCGGGGCCCGGGCGCCCTCCTGGGAAGTGTAGTTCGCGCCTTGCGCCCCGCAAGCGCCGAGGCCGGGGTCTCCGGGCGGAAGCGGGACCACCCTCCCGGGAGGCGAGGCTTGGGGCCGGCCGGGCGCGCCCTTTCGCGTCCCGCCTTCGGGTCCGCGCCCCCGGTCCCGCCTTCTCCCGCGCCGACCCCTGGACCGCGGCCGCCGGTGTCGCAGAGAGTCGCGCCGCAACCTGCGGGCGGGGGAGCGGGCGCCGGGCACCGCGGCCGGAAGCTGGAGCGGAGGCTGCGGCCGGGATGGCGCACCAGGTAAGGCGCGCGGGGACCCGGCGGGGAGGACGGACGGACGGACCGACGCACGCCTGAGCGGGTCGGCTGGCGGGGCAGGGCGCGGCCCCCGGGGGCGGGGGGAGAGCCCGGGACCCTCCAACTTGGGGATCGGGCTGTGCGGGCCGCGCGGGCCCGGTGCGAAGGTTGCGTGCGCCGTATCCCTCCTCGGGCCACCCCAACCCGCACCCGCCTTCAGTGTACAGGGCTTCTCTCCCCCTTTGCAAAGCCGGCCCTTTGCGTTAACCATCGCTCTCCCTCGCTTGGCTAGCTTTAATGAATTACGTTATCCTGGGAGCGGTAGGCATGAAGGCCTCAGGGGAATGAATACATCGGATACTTTTATTCTTGGTAGGATGTTGGACACACACCTCTCCCTGCCCCCCATCTGCCCTGGGGTGGGGCGGGGGAGACCTGAAACTAGGTCCCTGCCCACCACTCCCAGGGTTTAGCCTCTGGGTAAGGTGTGGAGCGCCGCTCCGGGAGAGCCCGGGTACAGTTCGGACGAGTGTGTGCAGGAACTTGGAAGTCGCCACACGTTCTTAGGGGCCTCTTGGAGCTAGTTCTGTAATTGGGATGGCTCATGAGCCTGGGCCAATCTCAAGCAACTGCAGACTCCATTGTTGGCGTGGGGTGGGATTGGCTCTGGAGCAGGCTGTGTCCAGGCAGAGCAGTCACTGTGCCAGGACCTCGGCGTCATCGATGCCCCACTGGCTCTTGGTAGGAAGGATCAGCCAGGCCTGTTGGACGTGTGGGAGCAGGGGCAGCCTCTCTTGCCAGTTATGACTGTCTGGTTAGTAGCACTCTTGCTCAGATATGCCCCCTGGCCCCATTCTCGGGCCTCCTCATTCCAGAGTTTCCCTCTTCTATAAAATGAGGGGTTGGACCACCGCTCCTTCAGATCTGATGTTCTGGGATGTGTGTGTGCTTACACTGTGTAGCTTCATGGAGATGGCGGCCAGGGGTGGCCTTGGGGAGGAACAGGGCACAATCAGATGGAGAGGAACAGGGTGGGCCTCCTGTCTTCCTGTCCAGTGCCAATCCCCAACCTGTGAGCCCAGCCTACAGGGGAGGGGCAGCAGGGTGCAGGGTCGGATCTGGGAGCCCAAGCCTGAGGCATGCTGGGAGAATGGGTCAGGCTGAGAAGGACAGTGAGAGATGGATGAGTCCGATGGGTATTAACCCTGCGGTTTTCATGCTGGGCTAGTAACACCATGGAGGGAGTGTTTCAGGAGGACCAGCATGGCGGCAGTGAGCCATAGGCTTAGTTACAGCAATCCTGGGTCAGCCAGAAAAGCTTTTCTCCCATTGGCTGAGGGAGGGTGGAGGTCTGAGAGCCACAAAGGGGATGATGTAGGACCCGAGGAGGGTGGTGGGTCCAGATTGTAAGCCAGAGGTGGGTTTCCCTCTCCTGAAGTTGAGTATTTGTGGCCTGCACATTTTCACACTCATTCTTGCTCACTCCCTCCACACACACACACACTCACTCACTCACTCCTCACTCTTCCTCTGCATTTTTGGGCAGGGGGAAGCCACTGATGGGACTGCCTACCCTGGCCACAGTCAGTTTCATTCCTGTTTTGTAAGAACTTAGTCATAGAAGAGTTTGTTTTGAGGCTGGGTGGTGAAAGGCCAGGGACCCATGTCTTCCAGGTGTCTAGAAGAGCTGGGCATATTAGCCGGGAGATAAACAGGCATTGGAATATGTGGAAGAGTCCGTTCATTCTGTGTAGCTGGAGATGGCAGGTTGTGACCTGCAGGTGGGTGTTATGCAGGCAGATCTGGCTGCAGTAACACTACTCATAGCACTTGAACGTTCCAGCATTTGTTCTGGGCACTTTTCCTGTATCAATCTAGTTAGTCTTCACAGCATCCCTACAGCGTAGGTTGTTATGATCCCAGTCTCACAGATGAACTTGGCGAGGTGGCATAGATAATATGAAGCAAAGCAGGCATTGGAATGCCAGCAGCCGGGTTCCTGAGGTCAAGCCCTAACCCCCATGCTCTATCCTGTCTATATCCAGAACTTCTTAACTGCCAGATCAGGCCAGCAGTAGGACTAGGTGTTGGAGTGTGTTAGGCACCCGTTACTGAAGGCACTGAAGTAGAAATTGATTAGCCACCCAGTTTTGGGTGGAAATTGGCATGAAATGTTCACTGCTTCTTAAAGGTCCACAGCAGTTGTCTGTGATTTCTAGTTCACAAACGTGCTACCTTGGACAGCTGGTGCCTGGGGAGAAGGGAGGGGCCGAGGGGCCTGTTTACCAGGAGAGTTTCATATTCTGGGGACCAGGCAGGTTCCATCCAGTCTCCAGCCTGTGACTGGACTACATGTCAGAATCCCCTGGGGAATTTGAAAATGTTGATTTCTGAACCCTGAAAGCACTAAATCATGATTTAGTAGATCTAGGATGAGTTGGGAAATCAGCCCTGATTAAAAGGAAGCTGTGAAGCACATCCTTTGAACCTCAAAGCCCTTTTGTTTTGTCAGTTGTTATGTTGTAAGAGCTTCTGATGGGAGAAGCTGAGGATACAGAGTATTTTCCACCTGGTTTACTAAACAGATGCTGTCTGCTGGCTTGAACTAGCTCTCCGGCAGAACTACCGTTTGGCTCTGCTGGGGCCTTATGCCCCGTTCCCCGCGCCAGCTGGGCCATGCCATTTAGCAGTGGCTACAGGAGCATTTGTTGTGGTCAGGACTTGTACCCTTTCCCCATCACCGACTTGAACAAATCTGTTTCAATGTTCAACTTTTATTACAAGGTTACTGGGAATGGGACTGTCTGATACAGATCCCCCATGTCTATCCTTATAGACTGGGTAATAATAATTTTAAAAATTGGATGCTGGATGCTTAGTTTCTTAAGGTTTACCGATCTTATTATTATTGGACTAGAGGCCCAGTGCACGAAATTCATGCACTGGTAAGGTCCCTAGGGGCTGCCAGCTACACCACCACCACCACCACCACCACCACCACCACTGCTGCCGGCCGGGGCCTCCTGCCGCTGCTGCCTAGGGCCTCCCTCCCTTTCCCTGGCCAGCCCCACCCCCTGGTTGAACTCCTGGTTGAGGGGACAATTTGCATGCTACGCTTTTACTATATAGGATGTAGTCACAGTCAAACACAGGGAAGGGACACCAAAATTTCAGTCCAAAGGCCTGAGCCCTAGACTTGGCCCTGAGGCTGTCTATCCACTCTGCATGCTGCTTCACTTCTCCTCACTTTGGAACCTCTGCCCCTCACACAGGATAAGTGTGTCACCAGCATAGGACTGTTTTGTATCAAGCAGGAGATCTGAAATGCTCTGAAACATGTAAGGATCATGCCTCTGCTGATCTGTGAGCCCCTCGAGAACAGAGCCTCTGTGTGACATGTGTCACTCAGCAGCCAGCAGGTGCCTTTAGTGTGTGGGTGTTAAAGTTAGAGAGGGCAGAGGAGAGAGGCCGATGGAGCGGAGAGGCTGGCTGGGTGGCTGGGGCACCTGGTACATGGAATTGGGTGTGTCAGGGAAGTCGTACATGCCCACAACCCCCAGCTCTTGTCATCAGATAGGAGGTGTCCAGGCTGGCTGCTGTTCACAGCATGGCACGAGTTACCTAGAGAGGAGTCCAGGCAGGGGTCAGCCAATATCCCTGGTCCCGGGAGTGGCCTTGTTAGAAAGGTGGACCCTCCATAACTCGGTATGTCCATACTATCAACATGTTCTTCCCTGGATCTAACTTGGACCTGCCGAGTCAGCTCTGTGTAGAGCTACCAGAAGTTGGAGAAGAAATGAGCATCCAAGGCCGTCCTGATTTGATTCTTCTTACTGGCCTCCGGATGGTGTGTCTGGGTGGAACTCTTGTTTTGTGGGGGCAGAGCCTGATGTTGATCATTACACCCCTAGGTTATGGTTCTCAGGGAATTGACTTTTACTAACCAAACTCACAGAGGACAGATAGATAAATCAGACTAGGCCAGATCCTTAACACATGTGGACGGGTCATGAGAATTCTCACTTCATATTACACAGTGTTTTGCAAAGTATCATACTTTAAAAAGATATTAGCTTGTAAGAACATGTAATAAATAACTTCAAACTGCAATGGATATTTAATTTTAAAACGTGCCTTTAACATTTATGTAAAATGTTTTTTGTACTCATTCAATAGAAACTTATTTGGCCACTGGGTAAAGCTAGCAATAAAACTGCTGGTCCCCATTAATATATAGTAGTTTCCCCTAATCCGTGGTTTTGCTTTTTAGGGTTCAGTTGCCCAGCTCCTGGTGGCCCTGGGCTTTCCTTGGCTTGTGGTCGCATCAATCCAGTCTCTGCCTCTGTCGTCACATGGCCTTCTCTTGTGTCTCTCTTCTTATAAGGACGCCAGTCATACTGGGTTAAGGTCTTAACTTACTCCAGTATGACCTTATTTTAACTAATTACATCTGTAATGACCCTTTTCCCAAATAAGGCCACATTCACAGCATAGCATTTTGGGGACACAGTCGACTCCCATCTGATTGCTGTTGCTCCTTTGCCTGCTCCCGTGTGTCAGAGGCCCACCACACGCTTGCTGCTCCCCACTCCTTTGTGTGCACCTGACCTTGATGGGATGGAACCAGCCCACTCCCCCGAGATTGTGCCCGCAGGTGCCCATCGCCTTCCAGGACCTGGCCGTGCGGTTCTCTGAGGAGGAGTGGCAGCTCCTCGGGGAGAGGCAGAGGGAACTCTACAGGGATGTGATGCAGGAGAACTACCAGGCGCTGGTCTCCCTGGGTAAGGAGCTGGCCGTGCCCTGGGGCCTTTCTGGGGAGGTGTAGCAAGAGCCTGAGCTGAAAGTGGAAGGGGGGCTAGATCCAGCACCCCAGGCCGAGGCCTTAATCTTCCTTTACAAAAGAAACACTGCTGGAGGTGGTGTTCTGAGAGCCTCAGCTGAGCTGGGGGGCCTCACTGATGTTTTACGCCATTGTTGCTTCTGTGGACTACACTAGGGTTCTGGGTCTGCTTTGATGGGGGTGCTAAAAAGCTGGCAAAACACTGAGCAAGGTGGTTTCGTGGGTCCTAACACTCTTTGGTTCCTGGGGTTTGGTGGTCACATGAACACATGGGTCAACAGATGCATGGATGCACGGGCATCAGGGCCGCCTGCATGCTTGGGCTTAGGGGGCGGAGGCAAGCTTCCATTCCAGGGGAACTGTCCCTCTTCTTTCTCAGGAACAGCTGACCTGCTCCCCCTCTCTGCCTTCCTGTCTCCTGCGGAGCCTGGAGGAGCCATGAGCAGGAGCAAAGCTGGCGAGGAACAGGAGCCTCCTAAGGGAGGTGCCGTAGGTGAGTAATCTTGGTAGACGGCCAGGCCCCTTTGGGTATCCTGGTCCCCCTGGGCAGCCTGGACCCGAGTGGACTCACTCTTTTCCCTCCCACCATGTGGTCCTTAGCTCCCAGCTCCACTTCCCATGAGACACTGTGACATCAATCCTCTCCACCCCACCAAGTTCTTGACCCTAACCCCACCTTGACCTTTCACCCCTCATCCCTCTGGGCTGGGAGCTTGGTACACTTGCCCAGTGAGTGACCTGCTCAGAGAAAACCTGGGGTCGCCCTTGGAGTGCATCACCTCTGTGGGCCCCCTTCCTGCCACCACCCATGCAGAGCCCACCTAAAGTTCCCGAAGGTGCTGCCACGGGGCTGGCATCCAGAGCTCAGCCTGGGCAAGGCCGGGAGATTTAGTGGGGGGGCAGTGCCAGGAAAGACAGAGGGCTCCAATGGTGAGAGGGGATGGGGATGCAAGCTTTGGTGTTCCCCTCAGAGGAGTACCAGGTAATGAAGACAGCATATAGAAGAGGCCAGTTACCCGGGGTCCCAGCTGCCAGTCCTGGCTGTGCCCGTGGGCAGGTCACCAGGCCTGAGCCCTGGTCCTCTTTATCTCAGCCATCGGTCTCTCCTTTGCCGCTCCTTATGTGGTTGCGGGACCACATGAAACGCATACAGAAGTGTGAGTGCTGAGCTGACGTAGGGAGTGGAGATTCACTGTGGCCTCTCCAGCAGGAGGAGCACCCCAGCACAGCCTGCACCTCACCGCCCTGGTGCAGCTGGTGAAGGAGATTCCGGGGTTCCTGTTTGGGGAAATTGGCCCTGAGAGTGGGAGAGCCGGCCTGGATGGGGAACAGGTGAACCCCGAAGGTAAGTCGGACAGCAGGGCAGCCTTTGCACTCCACAAGGTGAAGTTTAAGCTGTGAGCAGTGCCATGTGTGTGCTGTGCGCCTGCCTAGCTGCTGCCAGACCCTAGGTGGAGTCTTTCCCTTTCATGAACGCCCTGGCAGCGTGCCTGCCTCAGACATGGATAGCTGATGGAACAGCAGCCTCTGAGTTTTCTCACAGTGGTTTCCACATGGCTTCATCCACATCCTGTGGCCACGTCACGTTGTGCCCTGCGTGGCAGGTGAAGCCGGTCCCTGTTCTAAGGGGAGGAAGGCTACGCTGGGCCTTGTTTGAATGGCCAGTGGGGACAAAGGTCCCCCTCCCAGCCTGTGCTCTTCCCACCTCATCAGTCTCTCCTTCTCACTGGCCCTTCTCAGCTCAGGCCTCACCTCCTCAGGGGGTCTGTCCCCATCAGCCCGAGCCTATAGGGTTCCTTTGAGTCCGCTCTGTTGATAGTAACGGAAATAGAAAGTGGGGGTGGGAGGGATCTGATCAGAACAAGACTGTGACTGTGAATCGACATTTTAGAGCTCAGGAGTGACAAGGCAGAGCTTACTGATGTCCTGTTAGTGGAATATGGCAAGGAAGGGCCAGAATGGAGCACTTTACCTGCTGGGCATCAATCTCAGCTTCCAGGGTCCTCTCCCTCCTCCCGACAGCAGCTGTGACGGTGGCAACTTGCCCTCTCCAAGGCCTGCTCAACTGCCTTCCAGACACGCCCGTCCACCAGCCCAGCGGTAGCTCATCGTCCAGCAGTTCACCCGGAGCCAGGAGGCAGGGAAGCCCCCTCCCCATCAGTGAGTGTGACCCAGTGGGGGCAGGTTCCAACTCTGGATTCAGGAGAACCGGACCCCATGCCCTATTCCAGTGATGGCGAACCTATGACACGCGTGTCAGAGGTGACACGCGAACTCATTTTTTTGGTTGATTTTTCTTTGTTAAATGGCGTTTAAATATATAAAGTAAATATCAAAAATATAAGTCTTTGTTTTACTATGGTTGCAAATATCAAAAAATTTCTATATGTGACACGGCACCAGAGTTAAGTTAGGGTTTTTCAAAATGCTGACACGCCGAGCTCAAAAGGTTCGCCATCACTGCCCTATTCATTTCTCTAAGACTTGGCGGCCAAGACATGTTGGTCCAGCTTCATCTAAGTCTTGGTTTCCCTTGTTGCTAAATGGGGACAAGCTCCCTGCAGAGCAGGACAAGTGCTCAGCCTCTGTCTGTGAACCAAAGAGGAGGTGTGGTGCTCAGTGCCCGGGTGGCCCGTCACCCAGCCCTGCTCATGGAGTACTGTGTGCTCACGCTGCTCATGCACATAAGTGGGGGCCGCTGCTGACATACAAGCCTATCAGCAGGTAACATACCTGTGCACACCTGATCTGATTCTCAGACCTTCTCATTAAGGCAACCCTAAGAGCAGAAGAGGGCAAGGGTAGTCATCAGAATTTCTCTGGGGGATCTCACTTTATTTTTAAAAATTTTTGCAAATTTTGCATTTGTCTGAATATCTGTTTTATTAAAAATATTTTAAATTAATATGGAATAAAATTGGCACTCCTGGAAAACATACCCCATTGGGCCTGTGGCTTCAAGTGTCGCCTGGTAGATTTGCTCTGGGGTTTCCAAGACTCCACATTTGACAAACATGAGTGCAGAATGAGGGCCTGTATGTTGAGATTGCTGGTGTCACTTGCTGAGCCGAAGTCAGAGGCTGGAGTTGGGGGAGGGTCCCAGGCATTTGGAGTGAACAGTCTTGGTATTTACAATTATACCAGGAGGAAGCAAGCCTTGCAGGAGCTGGCTCTACGACTAGTTCAGGTTGCCCCCTGGGAATTTGGGGCTGGAGAGGCCTCTCCCTCTGTGGGCACCAGATCTGGGCAATTCCCTGGGGTCAGGAGCCAGGGCTGGAATGGCCTTCCTGTCTCTCTTGTTACAGAAACTGCAGACACACAGGGGCCTACGGAGAAAGAAGGCCCTGGAGCCCCAGACGGGAAGTGCAGTCCTCTCACCTGTAGCCCCAGCAGAAGGAAGAGCCACAGAAAACAGCAGAGAGGGACTTCAGGAGCAGGTGAGAGGCTGGCTTTCCTGAGAGTGGGTCTATCCTGGAGCTGAGTGGGACAGGGAAATGGAGGCATGTTCTCTCCCATCTCAGCCTCCAGACAACCCAACAGAGCAGGGGCCCTCCCATTCTCACAGGTGGGGGATCTCAGATGCCCTGTCATCTCACAGCTGCCACCATCAGGGCTGCACTGACCTTGGCCGATCTTTCAGGTCCCACAGGAACCTCTCCTGGGAGCAGCCCCTTGCAAGGTCTCATCAACTGCCTGAAGGAAATCCTTGTCCCTGGGCCCCAGCACCCGGAGGCATCCTCGAGCTTACCGCCTCCTGTCCCAGGCCTGGGCATGTCACGGCTAACCCGGGTGGAGCTGCGACCTGGGAGCCCACCCTGGGGAGGTGAGTCCTATGGACCTGTCTCAGGCCAAGGTTAAAACTCGAATTGGCTTTCTAGAGCTATTTTCCTTTAAATCGAGTGTCTTCCTGAAGGATCATTCTCAACTTGGCTGCTGCATATCATCAGGGTCATATTTCTGGAGCCAGGTGGCTTTCTTAGAATAGCATGTAGGCAGCTGGTAGAAGGAAACTCAAAGCAGACCCTGGATCCTTTTGTGTTCTTTACGCGCCCGTTTGTGGGATGTCAGAGGAGGAGGTGCTGAGTGAGTTCTACACTTACCGTGGAATTGGGGGACCAGGGCAGTATGGTGGGGCCAGGAATGCCTGTCCTGGAGTCTGACATCTGTTAACTGTGCAGATTCAAGACTCCTGGAGCCTTGAGCCTCAGTATCGCCATCTGTAAAAGAGGGTCATTGTTTCCACCTAAGAGGGCTGTGTGAGGCTTAAGTACAGTAATGTGCATGTGCGTGCGTGCGTGTGTGCGTGCGTGCGTGCGTGCGTGCGTGTGTGCGTGCGTGTGTGCGTGTGTGTGTATTTGTGTGTGTGTGCGTGTGTGCGTGTGTGTGTGCGTGTGTGTGTGTGTGTGTGTGTAAAAGGCTTGGCCTCCTCGATATAAGTCCTGTTCAGGGCCCAGAGAACTGTCTATAAGCAGCGACCCATCAGCCCACTCTTTCATTTGTCTTCAGAGTCACACCGTGTGCTCTGCCTTTATCGTCCCTTCTCTTCTCTGCCCAGTTCTGGGAGGTATGGAGACAGAGATTTTAAACCTGCCACCAAGATGACAGTGGCCTGTGCAAGACCGAATGAGTTACTACAGATGACCCACACCTCCAGATTTCTGGCCCTGAACTCTTTTACCTGCTTACCTGGATTGTCCACCTGTTGTTTTCACAAAGACTGAGGACACTGGGCTCAGGGTGGAAATGTGTTGCTTTTTCCTGTAGTGAAAACAGAGGCAGCGTCTGGGGATTGTCCCCTCCAGGGGCTGCTGAACTGCCTGAAGGAGATCCCAATGGCCCAGGACACGCACCCCAGCCCTTCAGGAGCAGGGAAACCACGGCTGCAGGAGGATCCGGGGGCCTGGAAAAGGAATTCTGGAGGTAAAGGCACTGGCTGTGCTGGGAGGGCCTTGGACGTCATCCATTCCTTCCTCTGTTCTAGGCAGGGCCGTGGGTGACCCTCCACAGTGAGACACTCAGGCCACATTTCTGTGTGTTGGTTGGAGTGGCCAGATGTTGGGGATTGTCACCGTAAATGGAGCTGGTCACGGAGGAGGTGCTTCATCAGTCCAGATCGGCTCTTAGAGTAGGAGCCAGGAATTCCAGAAGGAAGGATGGGATGGTGTAGGGGAAGGAGACTGAGAACAGAAGACAGAGCTCAGCCCAGTAGACATTTGGGGCATGATTTGGATGTGGGGGTTCTCATCATGGCCTAGTAGGCTGGGATAGTATTTCCACACTCTCAGCTCTCCTGTGCTCCGCAGCTTCTCAGGACGTTGAGAAAGTCTAATTGAGACAGGTGTGCTGGCCTTGGAGGAAAGACCCTGATAGGTGCTTCCTGGGGAGGCCTGACCTGGCTCCTCTGTGGAAACTCTGGAGGTGCCCCTCTGAGGGACAGGGGTGTGAGGGGAGGCTGGTGGCAGGGCAGGAAGTGTGTTGGTCCATGTGCTGGTGACTGAGTGTGACTACCTCAGAGGGGAGACTTGGAAGCCCTGTCCTAACCCATGAGGGCCTCATGGAGGGCTTCCCGCAGGGCCCAGATCCCTCCAGACTCTTCCTTCCTGCTCCGGTGCTGGCACTGGCCATGTGCTCTCTGTGAAGATGGAGGATGGCTGGGCCCAGAGCCCCCCAGTGCCTGCATCCTGTCAGCTCCGCAAGCAGACCCACAGACCCTCTGCCACCAGCAGTCCCGGGGGTGATGGAGACACCAGTGGGGACCAAGTGCTCAGATGGGGCCCCACAGCGCAAGGTGAGGCCTGGGTCATTTGCTTGAGTCCTGATGGGGTTCTCAGCCCTCAGTAAAGTTATGCCCGTCCACAGGGGAAGAGCCCACCGTCCTCAAGCAATTAATGCCCTCTGTTAATCCACTCCCTCCTTAATCCAGCCTTGCCCAGGAGCCCTCCCTTATAAGGACCTTCACTTGCAGAGATTTTCTGACTGTCAGGGAGCTGGCTACTCATACATGTGGGTCTACCACCTGCCCCAGAGCCTGGGGGACAGTCTGTGTCATCCCCCCTATGAACAGAGCAGATCTAAGTCCCCCGCAGGAGGGTGTCCTGCCTGGCAGGCTCCCATACCTGGTGCAGGACTTCTCACCCAGCAGAAGGTGGGGGGGCAGCCAGCCTGGGGCCAGGCCAGGGGACCTGCCAGAGATGGTGATAGGGCCATCTCCCCTGTCCCAGCCAGCAGTGCCTCGAGCTCACCTCTGGAAGCCCTGGAGGCCTGTCTGAAGGGCATTCCCCTGAGTGGGTCGTTACCTCCCCAGCCGCCGCCGGCCACCTCTTGGTTCCAGAGCTCCCATCCAGGAGACCCCGGGTCTCAGAGGCCTGAGCTGAACCCCCGAGGATCACACAGTCAAGGTAGACTTGGCCATGCCCTGGGGATGGCGTTTGTCCCTGCATAGCACAGGGGTGGGGTGGGGGTGGGGTGCTGAGGACACTGTTAGGTCCTCCTCTCTGGGTCTCGTAAAGTGCAAGCCCTTCTCCCCTCCCTCCCACCCCCAGTCTCTTTCATGCCTGCCCCCAAACAGCTCCTGAACTGGGTGGAAGTCAGCTAAACTGTTCCTGCCCACTGCCTTCTCTAAGAGCTCTTACTCTAGCCCAGGGGTCCTCAAACTACGGCCCACGGGCCACCTGCAAATACAAATATTGTATTTGTTCCCGTTTCGTTTTTTTACTTCAAAATAAGATATGTGCAGTGTGCATAGGAATTTGTTCATAGTTTTTTTTAAAACTATAGTCTGGCCCTCCAACGTCTGAGGGACAGTGAACTGGCCCCCTGTTTAAAAAGTTTGAGGACCCCTGCTCTAGCCCCCTGAGACCAATGGCTGGGGTCATGTGGGTTAACATGCTGTGGTATTTTAATCAGTGCTGTGAGCTCCCTAACCAAGAGAGACCCCAGTGGAAGGTCCTTGGGGCAGGGCTCCTGGGCGTCTTCCCACAGCTCAGGGCCCAGGGACCTCTTCTTTAGTGGTTTTCCCATGATGCCAGCTGTGTTGTTTCCTGCAGGACTGACTGTGGGGCCTCTTCCGGCTCTGGGCCTGCAGGGCTTTGTCAGAGATGGCCCTGTCCTCGCCCCAGGTCCCCACAGCACCCCCACCAGCTTCTCCTCATCCAGCAGTACTGATGGGGACCTGGATTTCCAGATCTCTGAGGGCAGCCAGGGACGTAGGCCTGAAAAAGGTGAGCTGGCCAGCCTAAGGCTCGGGATCAACCCTGGGAAAGGGTGGGAGGCGTCCCAGCCCACTGTGGTGCCAGCATATCCTAGTCAGGTCCCCGTGCCCATGCTGGCAGCAGACCCGGGGTGCCCTTATCACAGCCCACTGTCCTGACTTCCAAATAGGCGGCCAAGACATGTTGGTCCAGCTTGAGCAGGGCCACTCAGAGCCTGGACTGACACATGCTTGGGGCCAGGTCTCGAGTTCAGGTACCTTGCACTGCCATGACAGGTCCAGTGCTCTGTGCCTCCTCCCCTGGGCCCAGCTGTCCTGGACACGGTGCAGGCAAGGTCCCTGGGGTTCGCAGAGACTGCTCTGACTGTCTGACACTACAAATGTTGGGTTTTCATAGGAATTCCAGTCCGTAGTGCCCCACTCCAGGGCCTGGAGAATTGTCTCAGGGAGATATCTGTGCCCAGGTCACAGCCTACCTGGTCCTGGTCCTCGGCAGGGGACAGAGAACCACAGAGAGTGGAGCCCAAGAACTGGATGGCAGACAAGGAAGGTAAAGCATGGTTGCCTGGGGGTCTAGGAGTAGGAAAAGGGCCACATCCACCCTGAGATGAAAAGACACTCTGGCCCTAGCCAGTCTGGCTCAGTGAATTAAGCAACAGCCTGAGGACTGAAGGGTCCTGGGTTTGATCTCGGTCAAGGGCACATACCTAGGTTGCAGGCTTGATCCCCAGGAGGGGGCATGCAGGAGGCAGCCGATCAATGAGTCTCATCATTGATGTTTCCATCTCTCTATCCCTCTCCCTTCCTTTCTGAAGTCAATAAAAATATTTTTTAAAAAAGAAAAGACTCTCTGGAAATGACCTGGGCAGAGGCTAGTGTGAGGCCAGAAAGCCAGAGAGCACTGCCCGCCTCTGCATGGCGGGTGCAGTCGGGGCAGGGCTCTCTGCTGCTGAGTTCAGGCCTGAGCCCGGCCTTGGTCGTGGAGGAGTGTCTTTCGATTGTGGCTGTCCTGGCCCCATGTGCTTGGGTCTGGCCTAGTCACTGGGCTGTGGGGCTCCCAGGAGTGCAGGTGGCTGGGTCTGAAGAGATCCCAGAGGATTTAGACGCCCCTGGGAACATCTGCAGGGCTGGTGTGTGTTCCACACCTGGAACACGTGTGCCCGAGAATACAACGATGACAGTTTTCTGTCCACTAACTTCTTTCCTTGGTGCCAACACAGAGCCCTGGGGCTGACAGGCCTTTGGGCCTCTCATTAAAACAGGACTGAGGAGAGAGGTGTGTGAACCAGTCCATCTCAGGGGGGACGTGTCCACCAGGAGCCTGCGGCCAGCCAGCCCACAGGCACTCACCTCTAGCAGTGTCCCCGCCTGCTGCCAGCGAGGGCTCAAAGACCACGTGGCCACCAGGACAGGACCATGGAGGTGGCTCCAGGATGGTGAGCTGACATCTGCCCTCAGCACTTCCTGGGATGTTTTCGCTCCAAACAGAGTCTTTGATGAGGGAATAGATTTCCCTTCCCTCTCTGTTCCCTCCCTGTCATACACCCGCTCATTCCCCAGGCTGACAGCTGAGCACGTGAGTGAGTACAGGGGCTCCCTCTACTCCTGTGGCCACTTAGTTTAACTTGCAGCAGAATTCTGTCCTTGACCTGCCGAAGTGCCAGTAGGCTCTGACTTGTTTGAATAAATATGATGTTTCTAACACTCCCACCAGGCAAGAGCTGATTTTGGGGGCCTCCTGTGGGCTTAACTGAGTCTCTGCTGTTGGACACTGGTCCTGAGGGAGTGGAGTAGGAGGACCCAGGGCCTGGCTGGAACTGACTACTAGTGGCTTTCAGTGACTTGAGTCTTCCGGAAAGTTCCCCAGCTGGATTTCCACAGGGGTTGGGGGCCTAGCCAGGCTCTGGCTTCACTTCTCTCCACCGTCATGGCAGAGAGGATGTTCAGGACCACTGGAGCTGGTCTGGGGCCGGTAACTGGGCTGTGTGCCTGTTCATTCAGGCCGAGGGTCCTCCTACCTGTCAAGCTGATGGACAGAAGGTTCTTCTGTCATTCGCCCAGGGGCAGCCACCACGCCCTCCCCACTTCACTGCCTGGAGAACTCTCTGAAGGGGATCTTGCCTGGGAGGCCCCTGCGCTTCACATGCTTGGCCCTCCCCGGCCCCAGCCCGAGCCCCAGCCCTGGCCCCGGCACCGTCACTGGCTCCAGCTCCAGCTCCAGCCTCAGCAGCTCAGAAGGGGAAGACCCAAGGCTGGAGCCTGAGCTCTGGCAGCCACTCCTACAGGGTAAGCTTGTGGGGGAGAGGGAGACAGGAAGCTATGCCCCAGGCTGAGGCCACCACCCTGATACCAGCTTTGTGATGCAGAGAGGGACCCTCTTCCCAGCAGCAAGAGACCTGGCCCTCCGACCCCAAGCCCTGGTGAAGGTCCAAGGAGAACAGAGCCCAGGGACCACTTCAGTCTCAGGACAGGTGAGCCTGGGGTCTCCTGACTGGGGCACGTCCCCAGGAGGACCACAGTCCAGAGGCTGGGTTTCTGAGTCCCACCTGTCACTTTGTCTGATTCTTGCCAGAAAATTCTATGCTTTTGTCATGCTTGAGTTCCCTGTAAGATGAGCTGTATCCGAGAGAGAAGGTGGGGCTATTGAGGCACTCAGGGTTCCAGGAGGGTTAAACGAGTGTGTTTGATTAGAAAACCTAGCCATGAACTTAATATATATGTTATAATCTCTCTCTATATATAAAGGCCTAAGCAACCATTATGACTGGAACAACTGGTCCACCAGTCGCTATGATGCACACTGACCACCAGGGGGCAGACACTCAATGCAGGAGCTGCCCCCTGGTGGTCAGTGCACTCCCACAGCCAACCTCCTGTGGCAGGCCAGTAGCCCATGGTCCCTCCCCCCTTCCCCACCTCTGGCTGGCCCCCATCAGCATCGGCCCCTGGTTCTAAACCATCCGGACCACCTGCTTCTGGGTTGGGGTTTTGTACGTAACAGAGCAGCTCCGTTGCTGTGATCTGTTGAAAGTCAGCCCTCGACACACAGGTTTGTCTCGCTCCCATCCGTCCTTTCCCTTCCCTGAGGGCCATTCGCCCACAGTGGTGGCAGCCAGGGAAGGAGGAGAGGGGAGGCAGGAGGCCGGGAACCGTCCAGTGGCGGAGCAGGGTAGGCGTCGGCATCCAGCAACTATTGCCTCCTCTCGCGACCCTGCCAGGGCCTTTGGGCCCTGGGCTGGGATGAGGAACTGGGGGGTGGGTGGCGGCCCCTTTCCCAGGGGGGCTGAGGGCTGGCTCCCTCCTTGGAGCCTGCTGCCAACCTCCTGCAGTCCCTCCTCCCCACCCCCGTGCACGAATTTGTGCACCGGGCCTCTAGTGTTATATATATATATTATGTATGCATTATATACACTTAATATGTACACACACACACACACACACACACACACGCTGTTGTGTGGGCCCAGCCTGTGGATAGTGATACTCTCACTAGGAATGCCTGAGGAGCTCCAGTGGCGCAATCGGTTAGCGCGCGGTACTTATACTAGGAATGCCTGAGGCGCTCACCCAGCCTTATTTCTCAGTACAAACCCCACCAATTCCTCCACTTGGGCCAGTGTTCTGGCTGGGCCACCTTGTGCTTCTTAAGATCATAGGACACACTTCAGCAAAACCATCAGAGGACTTTAAGGAGCAGGATTTATACTCACAGGTCACAAGAGAGAGGAAAGAGCACGAGGGCCTGGTGCTCTGTCTTGGTCACCATCGTGGTGGGCGTCTAGGGTTTGGTGGGTTCACTCTTTATTGGCTAATTTGAAACATGAGAGTGGGAATCAGGACGCAAGAAGGGAAAAGCAGGGTCTCTCAGATGGCCAGTTATCTAGGTCACCCAGGCTTTCTGAAAGAGGGACCTTCCCGGGGGTGGGGCAGCCCGGCTGCTTCCCTGGTTGTTGGCCAGGAGCTGTCATACCCCTTGCAGTATGTTTATGTGAGACGGACATCTTCTGAAATGGACGCCTCAGCAATCCAGAGCTTAATGTCAGGGTCTTACACTACATGTAAATAATAAACCTTTTTAAAATTTGGCAATAAACATAAAAGTGTCAAAAGTGAGGCTCCACCTGGGAGAACTTCGAGGTTGTCCTGCCAAGAAAGCTGGAAACACTGCCTGCTACCCCAGGCCACCACGCTTCTCAGTCCAAGCCTGACCTCGTGTTTGACCAGCAGGAAAAGCAGAGGAGAAGACGGGAGGCAGGTCCCAGGCTCCCCGGACAGAAGTGTGCTTGGAGACCCCAGGCCGGCCTAGCCCCCTGGGCAGCACCCAAGGAGGTACGGGTGGAGTGATTGGTTGGGGAGGGGGCCGAATCCTTCCAATTCAGGCTGATGGCCCCAGGAAATCTTTGGCCTTTCTGCAGCCCAGGCTGTCCCCACATTCCTCACTGCCCAGTGGGGCTGGTGGAAAAGAGCACAGAGTGTCCCCAGCATGTCCCTGGTAGAGTCTCACTGGTGGTGGGACCTGCAGATCATGGTTGTCTCCACCTGCTCTCCCCGGCCCCCACCCCCTGGTGGAGCCAGAGGTGTCATGCCCTAGCAGCAGAGGACCACAGACAGTCTGGTTCCCAACCCCAGTCACACAGGCCCCAGCAAGCCATTAGACCAGAGTTGGGCTTTCTGGTGGGCCAAGTGTGCCCGTCTTGCATCTCATTTAATCAGTATTTGAGAGTTGAAAGCTTGATTTTTTTTTTTAGGTCATGTCCAAATATTCCCATGTTAGAATGGCCCTGTCAAAATGATACATGTGCACACCCTAAGTGTTTTGTGCTCTTTCTGCAGGGGCAGCTGGGAGTATCTGCCCTGCCCCTCAGCCAGAGAAAAGGCCCAGGCCGGGGCCCTGCCAGCCTCCTGGGTCACCCGCTCGGCCCCTGTCCTGGAAGCTCAGGGTTAGTGAAGAATCCAGGGATCCGGTGCCTGGACACAGAGGACCAAGTGTTGCAGGTGAAGTGGTGGCCTCCCCGTCCCCTCAAGTTGTCAGGAGCCCTGGGCAGAGGGGTGGGCATGGGTCAGCATCTGTACAGCCACCCAACCCCTTCCTGCTGCTCAGCTCCTTCCTGCAGGGTCACAGGGGGGAAAGTTTTGTTTTTTTAAAAAATATATTTTATTGATTTTTTACAGAGAGGAAGGGAGAAGAATAGAGAGTTAGAAACATCAATGAGAGAGAAACATCGATCAGCTGCCTCCTGCATACCCTTCTACTGGGGATGTGCTCACAACCAAGGTACATGCCCTTGACTGGAATCGAACCTGGGACCTTTCAGTCTGCAGGCCGACGCTCTATCCACTGAGCCAAACCAGTCAGGGCGGGAAAGTTTTTTTTAACACTCTTCCAGGATTGTTTGGGTCACAGGTAGGAAGAGTCGTACCTTGAACTCACTTCAAGTTGCTTATTTCATTTTAGTGTTTTCTTATAGAAATAGCTGGCTTTTTCATGAAAGCATAGATACCTTTCAGAGGCAAAACAGAAATCAAGATGTACCAGAATGGATACACCCAGAATCAAAGTTCAGAGTTTGAGTGGACTTTAGAGAATAGATGAGGAAACAGGCCTAGTCACATTGTGTGACCTGGCCATGGGCATCCTGAAGATAGCAGATGTGGCTCCACATCACACCTGGCCCAGAGGAAGTGCCTCCCTAACCACGTTAAGACCTGGGCTGGGTTTCCTGATTTCTAGGATTTGCACGGGGATCCTCACACCAGACTGGAAGTGTGACCCGGTGGTTCCATTGCTGGGGTGATGGGGTCCTGCAGACCCTCTATCTTCACTCTTTCCTCTGATTGAAGCCCTGGAGGTGCTGATAAGAGGAAGGGGCCAGGCTAGGGCTCAGGGGTCTGGGGAACAGCAGGTAACAGGGCCTTCTTGTGAGGTTTGCCTGAGGTGGAGAACAGTTCTAAGAGAACTTAGGGTGAAAAAAACCCCAAAAACTTCTGAATATGAAAGACAAAAGTTGGGATTGAGGGATCCCTGGTGGTTTGCTTATGACTATTCACACTGGGTACTGATGCGGACCCTTGGTCACCCCTCTAGAAGCACCAGGTCCCAGGTTGGACTGGCCCTCCTGGGCCCTCTTCCAGATGCTGCCTGTGGCTTTGGCCTCGTGCTGTCTGCTGAGGCTTCTCCAGGCCCTGCCCACTGACTCCCTAGGACATGGTTAGGTGCCCTCAGGGGCCATTTGGTCCCAAAGATGGCACAAGAGCCTACTGATCCTTTTTCTAGAAAGCCCTGTGTCCTAAGAAATCTTAGTTACCATGGAGACCCAATCTGTGGTTTCTCCTGTTCATGATTTGGGAATCAGCCTGGAGATGTGGCCACTGTTAATGTCATGAACATTGTCATCAATGTTCTCAAGACTGAGTCACTTCCTTCCCATCTAAAGCCAGGCCGTAGTGGGGTAGGATGCTGAATACACTAATCCAGGGGACGCCTAGTGGGAGAGAGAGGTCCTGATAGCCTGAGAACTCTCACCCTGCATTCCTGCTCTGGTTTTAGCCAAGACCGAAGGGAGACCACTTACCAGAGGCCTGCCTGAACCGCCCCCCATGGCCACCGTCCCTCCTGCTTTGCCACCTGCCTCCCCACGGCCACCGTGTCCCTGCGGAAGTTCTCTGCAGCAGGAGCTCCACAGCCTCAGCGCCACCCTCTCAGAGAAGCTGGATCAGCTCGCCTCGGCCCTGGCAGGCCTGTCTCAGGAAGTGGCCACCATGAGGACCCAAGTGCATCGGCTAGGGAGGTGCCCTAGGGGCCCTTGGCCAAAGGGCCAGGCTTCCTGGCCGTGGGCCCTCCCCCGGGGACCTCACTGGGCTCATGGCCCTGCTCGCAGACACCTGCCCTACTGGAGACAGAAGGGCCATACCAGGCCAAAACCAAAAGATCCTGCATGGCCAGGCGGAAGGCTGCAGGGCTGGCGAGGCCTCAGGCCTCTCCCTTGGGACACGCCACCTGGTGCCTCAGCTGCCTCCAGGGCCCCCCCAGGCAGAACCTTCTGGAACCAGCTCCAGCCCTTCCCAGCACCCACCACCCTCAGCATGCAGCCGTGCTGTGCTCACTGTGCATCCCCTGCTTGGACACATTGGGGGCCCCCAGACTCCCCCTGCCCCTTCAGTGCCTGCTGCCTTCCCCCCGCAGATGGCCTCTCCAGCCACCAGTGCAGATGCAGAGCCACCAGCTGCAGCAGCTGCTCCAACTGGGCCCCGAAACTGGCCCAAGGACCCAAACAGCCTATTGGTGGGAGTCCAGAGAGGCTTTGAGGAGGAACTCTGGGATGGTAGAGAACATAGGGACCCGAGATGGGAGGCCTCTAACCACCTTCATCAGCTCCGCCCTGAGGATGCCCTGCCCCTGGCTGCCTCTCCTAGGGGCCAGTCCGCCCCTGCACATCTTTCAAACCAAACTTTCCCCATCTCTGGGCTGTGAAGAGCTAGGCATCTCTCTTGGCCTGACTGCCCCAGACTCCAGCATGTGTTTGCTCTGGGGGGGCACTGCTTGGGATGCATCCTCAGCCACGCCTCTGTCCTCCTTGGCTCAGGTTCATTCAGATGTTGCTCCCTCCTGTCTTTGCCATCATAACTGCCACAACTCATAGGCAGATGGTGGCGTACACACCTGTGCACAGCACGTGTGCTTGGGGTGCTCCAAATGGCTGCAGAGGGGCTAGGAGAGCCCTTCTCCCTAACACCTGTCCTTCCTGCTCTCAGCGCTGGGAAAGCAGTAGCTCTCACTTTCCTGCTAAATACAGGCAGCGATTTCATTTGGGGAGAATGTCACTCCTTGGTCTAAGTTCGATTCTAAAATTACAAAGTTAATTGCTAAGGGAAAGGCCCTTGGTGCCTACAGAAAGGGGCTAGGTGGGTCCATACCAGGGCGTGTCTGACTGGTTTGTATCAGTACTGGGACAAGTGAGCTTAGCAGACAAGATTACTTGCACCCAGACCAGTCTAGGTGGTCCAGGTCCAATTAGAACCTACAGGAAGTTCAAATCTTTTTTTTTTTTTTTAGTGTGGAAAATAAGTAATAAAATGAATGGTAAGATGCTTCATCATCTGCAGTTACATTTGTCCCACAGGTCCACTGCCACACCAGAAACGTTCAGTTCACTGAAAGCCTTCTAGAATCTACTTTGGTGAAAAATCTGTGTGCAGTTCAGGGTTTTGGGAGTGTGTTCAATACTTTCACCTACTTTATGGGGAAATGTCACTTTGGTGGGAGAAACTGAGGGGCCTTTTTTAACTCAGGAATTCCAGAGGTCTGGAGGTGGGGGGCACAGAAGGCTCTAGCTTGGCCTGTCACCATCCTGGCACGTAGCCTGGAGGATGGCTCCTGGCTGACCTGGGCTTGAGCTTCCCTCCATCCTTGCTCCACCAGCCATTTGCCAGCATGAGGCCACTGTAAGGCAGGCAGGGAAGGTCCTACTTCAACCTGTCAGAGTGGAGTGGGATCCCCAAGGGCTCCAGGCTAGCCCAGAGGGGTCCAGTGGAAGAGAAGCTGCAATGGGGTGGGAGGGGGTGCCACCATCTTCTGCCTGTGACACTGTCATTGCTGCCTCCAGAAGGAGCTTGGCTCATTGGCAGACCAGACTTGATTCAACTTTGTGTTTTAGCTGTGGCTTCTGTAAACAGCCTATAGTTGGATTTTATTTTTTAATCCAGCTTGACAAAATTTTTTGTTCCTTCATTGGAGCCCTGAATCCATTTACATGTAATAAAATCTCTAACATTTGAATTTGAATGTACCATTATTTTCTCCTTAGGTTTATCCCACTTGTTCTGGAGATCCCCCCCTTTTTTTCTGCCTTCTGTTGTATTGACAACGTTGTGGGTTTCGTTTGTTTTTATATATTCCATTTTCCCTCTGCTGGCCTCAATGTTTAAAGAACTAAAAGGAAAACATCCAAATTTACAGTCATATTTGGAAGATTTTGGCATGCCTTTTCCAGAAGTTGATAGAACAAATTAGGATGGATACAGAAAATTTGAACAAGCCAATTAAAGTTGTCTCGGTTGATGAATATATAGAACACTGGACCACAAGCTACAGAATATATATTCTCAAGTATATGCAGGACAGCCACAAAAATTGACCATATAGTAAGCCCTTGGAGCAAGATTAAACAAATTTGACAGTATTATACTGAATATGTTCTCTTGACCATACTAAGCTAGAAGCCAATAAAAAATGAGAAATTCTTATATATAGGAAAAATAAGAATTATGTTCCTAGTAACCCACATGTCAATGAAGAAAGAAGAAATATTTTGAACTGAGCTATAAGAAAGTACCATATATCAAACTTTGAGGATAAAGCTAAATCAGTACTGAGAAATGTGTGGATATAAATGAGTATGTGAAAAAGAAAAGGCTGAGGATCTACAGGGAGGTAAAAACAGGACAGCAAAGGAAATCCAGATAAAAGTTGAGGGCATGTAAAGATAACAAGAATGAGTGAAATGGCATTATATATTAGATATAATCAAGAAAGCCAAAAAGTGTTTCTTTAACAAAAAATGAAATTGACCAGCTTGTGGTATAATTCAACAATTAAAAAAAGTAGGCACACCTTTTGGCTAAGATCAAGTGTAAAAAGTCACAAATAACCAATCTTAGGAATGAAGAAAGTGACATCATTGTAGATGCTGCTACAGACCATATAAAAATGAAAAGATATTTCAAGCAACTTTGCCAAAAATTTGATTGAACTATACAACTCTCAGAAGAATACAACTTAAAACAGATTCAAAAAGAAGTAGAAAAATTGCATAGAATGGAATATCCTCCCATAAAGAAAACTGCAGATCCAGAGAGCTTCACTGATAAGTTCTACCTTGTATTTAAGGAGATCATTTCAGTAATACACGAACTATTCCAGAGGACAGAAAAATATTGAATACCCTGACTCATTTTATGAGACTAATATAAGTGTGAAACCAAAAGTTGAGAAGGACAGTACAAGAAGACAACCAGAGGCACTCCAAAAATATGCAAAGAAGCAAAAATCCTAAATAAGTATTTTCAAACAATCTGGCAATTTATAAAGAGAAATAAAACAGCATGACCAAGTTGGGTTTATCTCAGAGATTCAAGGCTGGTTTTAACATTTGAAAATCACTAGTAGTCACCTACCACCATAATAAAGGAGAAAAGTCATCTGATCATCTCAATAGCCACAGAAAGATGGCTTGATAAGAGCCAACATCCATAAATACTCTAGGGTTAGAAAGGGAATTTCTTTTTTCTTTTTTTGTTAATACTCACCTGAGGATATTTTTCCCATTGTTTTTTAGACTGGAAGGGAAGGGGAAAGAAGGAGAGAAACTTCAATGTGAGAGAGACACATTGATTGGTTGCCTCCTGCATGCGCCCCAACACACCAGGGCTGGGGCTGAGCCTGCAACTGAGGTACATGCCATTGACTGGAATCAAACCCAGTACCCTTCAGTCCACAGGCCAACACTCTATCTACTGAGCCAAACCGGCTAGGATGAAAGGAAATTTCTTAATTTGATAAGAGATTACCAAAAAAATAACTTAGCGTAAACGTGATACTTAATGGTGACATATGAATGTTTCTTCAGATCAGGAACAAGGAGAGGAAATACACTCTCACTATTATTCAGCACTAGTGTGGATGTTCTAGGTAGGACAGTAAGGCAAGGGAAGAGAAGGCATGAAAATCCAAAAGAAGGAGGAAAGGAGTCATTACAAGTGTTATGACCATACACATAGACAACTGAAAGGAATCTATAATCTATTACAATTAATTTTTTTAATTAAAATTTTTCATTTATGGCAAAAATATTCAAGAATCTAGGAATAAACCAGAAAATATTTATATAGAGAAAACTATTGAGCACTTTTTAATAGTTTCCTTCACTCCTTACTTCTCATAACAGTTAAGGCAGATGTTAATACTATTATCGTTCTTATTTCACAAACGAGGAAAGCGAAGCACAGAGAGGAAAATAAGCTTGCTCCAGGTCACACAGCCAGTAGCGGGGTTGAACTGCACTTGGAACTGGGATAACTGGCTTCAGAGCAAAGTGAGGCCCTTAAACATGCAGAGCAAGAGGACACTGAAAGCTGCACCCTCAAAGTAGGTGTGTGCAGTCTGAGGCAGAAAAGAAGTAGATTATTTTTAAATTTACTTCCCTGCAACCACTTGTAAGCTCTGAGTGAGGGCAGATACGTATTGTATCTGTGCACCAAACACTGGGTCAGGGACAGAGGGGCATTCAATAAACAGGAACTGAATATCTGAATGAATGGTGCATTTATTTGGATTTGAGACACCAGAGAGTGAGTGAGGCTGTTTGAATAAATTTACTGAAATATCCCGAGTGTTCATAGAGCCCTTGGATTCTCATCGAAACTGTGCACATTGACATCTGGGGCTCAGCGCTGTGCCTGTTTCTCTGGGGCTAACAGGCTGCTCAGACATCATTACAGGAAGGAAGTTAGAAAAGTGTTCTTTCTTATTCTGGAGCATCCGTGTTTGCCCAGCATGTCCTCAGACTCCATCCTCTCCATTTTAAATGTTTAAATGTTTCTGGCTTGGTGGTAACCTGAACCTGGACTTTAAGGTGATGAAGGACAAGACCCTAGAGCCGTGGTCCTCATCCCTGGGTGCACATTGGGATCACTTGGGGAAAGTTTTGAAAATCAGGTTCGGGCCCCATTTATGCAGATTCTAATTCAACTGGTCTTGAGTGGAGAGAGCATTGATGTCTGTCATCTGTCTGTCTGTCTATATCCATCCATCCATCCATCCATCCATCCATCCATCCATCTTTATATCTACCAATCTGGACATATATAAACTCTTTGTTGAAATATAACAAATATACAGAAAAGTGCACGTCTATTGGTATATTTTCACGTTTCCAGGAGATTCTAATGTGTTGAGAACCATTCTTGTTGGCAAAACTGTAGAACAAAGTTTATCTTTGGGCCTTTCCCACTGTTTCCCTTCAACATTTCTCTCTACTTACCAAAAAGAGCTTCTGCACCGACCCACAACTGGCAGCATCTCATGTATTTATTTAATTCCAAATTGATATACAGAGTGTCATTGCTGTGCCGGGAGCCCCAGGTGGGCCCATGCACCTTCATCAGATATCAGAAGTTCACTGTAACGAGTGGAACAGGGAGAGGGACCACAGACCCCTAAAGAAAGGGAGGTGGGGGTCTCAGGGGAAGGAGTGGCGGGTGAGGGGTGCAAGCCCCCTCCAGTTGGGGGTCAGTGTCCCTTGGTTGAATGAGGCCAATTTCTGCTCAGCCCCAGTCGTGAGCTGCCAGATCTTCTGACTTTTCATGAGAGAAGCTGGAAGTCTAGATTTTTATGTGAAATATCCAAGTATTTACAATGCTGCTGGGGCAACGTAATGGCCCCTATTTATAGCCACACTGTCATATTTACTGTGACCACCTGCTCATGGCCAGGAAACTTAAAACTCACTGCATTCAACCCCCCCTTTCCTTTTCCCTTGCCCCTCATCAACATCAATAATCTTATTGTAATGAGAAAGCAGAGGCCCAGGAAAATGAATGTGCTGCTCCAAGTCTACAAGAGGCACAGGAGGGGTCAAACCCAGGACTCCTCACTCCATGTTCAACTTGTTCCCCGCCACCCCACCCCTTCCCTTTATTGACAGGCAGCGAGCTCTCCCAGCGGCCTCGTCTGGGGAGGCACAGCTACAGAGACGTCTGGCTCAAGCATCCATCATAACAACAAATGTGTGATGGGAAAGAAATTTCATACACCACTAATGTCCTTCCTCGTGGTGCCAGGCAGGTGGAAGCTGGGGCTGCTTTTCTGAGAGCCCCTTGGGAGAGCTGCAGACAGCAGAAGTTCCAGAGCTCCAGAAGCCAGGGTTGCCTCGTGTCTCCATGGGAACAGCCCAGCCAAAGGGCACCTGCCCCCTCTCTGTGTATTCCCCATGTTCCAGCCTTCAACACCTGGCATGGGAAATGTACACTAATGTTTCTTCCTCGTCAAATTTCTGAGCTAGAGGCAGGGAGCAGGGAGTGGTTTGGAAATTAGCTGTATTATATGTTGATTTGGTAGAGCCATTACCAGCAGCTGGGTAAGTGGAACTCACCCAGGGTAGGTAAAGCCAGGTCCTCTGTGTGTGGCTTAGTCAGGGGTTCCCTCCCCCAGCTCGTTTAAAAGCCCTAGAAACTTCAGATTTAAATTTTAATGACACTGTAAGTACTCAGATAACCATTCTTTCCCTCTCCCTGTAGAGGTTCCTGACTTGGCCAGGGGTGGTCCGGGGAACTTCAGCTTTCCAGGGCTTCTCTTGGTGGGAGCCTTCCAGGGACTCAGGCAGGAATTATTCCCAGCAAGGGTTCACTCAGCACTTTGTTACAGAATGTTAAAGCTGGCTATCCTTTTCGGGACGTCTCCCCAGCAAGATGGAGAGGAACGAAAAACAGCCGTCAGGGCCTAGGCCATCCTGCCACAGTGCTCACCCGCTTGGACTTGCGTCTCTCCAACCAGGAAGCAACAGAAGGCAAAGGAAGGGCCTGGACAAGAAGGAGGCTCAGAA